CAAAGGGCAGTAGTTGGATTCCTAGGGGTAGTTATTTACAGTCCACAAGGCAAAAGGTAGGGGTATGTTAATCAGGTTTCTTGGAGATGGCTGACTGGAAAGGGGCAGGAACTCTCCCTTTCTGGGCACTACTTCTCATCGCAGTGTTCTTATAGTTTATTTTATATCCAGGCCTGGGTTTGCCATCCATTACACTACCAGGGGCTGCCTTCCAGGGGTGCCCATCCCTGCAGGGAGGGAGAGAGGGCAGGATGGCAATAGGTAAATTGAGTCAGGTCAGATCTAGGAGGCTAATTTGAGTGAGTCCAGTTTTGCTCCCCTCTGCCCCCAGAGCCTGTCAGGGGTGCCAGCCCGGGCTTCCTCATGCCTGGTGGTGACTCTGTTTACTGGAATAGAAACCGAAACAGGAACTGGGGGCTTGGCTCCTCAGCAGAGGAAGGCCACTCCTCTCAGCCACTTGGAGGTTCTTCAGGTGGTTCCATCTGCTTCTGGACCAGGGTAGGAATCCCAGGAATTCGGGAGCCAGCCAGGCCATGGGATGCTCTGCCAGGAACCCAGGCCTGGAGGTCCTGTGGATGAAGGTGTGGGGGGAGACCTAGACCTATGGTCTCTGCAGAGGCAGGGGTGGGGGTGGGGGTGGGGTGGGGGTGGGGGATGGGCTTTGAGCGAGGTGGGCCACCCTTTCCTGCCCCAGGTCCCCGGCGATCCAGAATGCTGGGAGCTTCCTGGAGGAGGCACCAGGGTCCATGCAGCTGTTGCTTTTTTATTCTCTGTTTTCCTGGAGTATGTGTGTTTTTACAATGGAGGAGATAAGTTCAGAGTCTCCAGAGCATCAGGGCTCCTGGGAGGCTGGGAGTGTGCAGCTTGGAGCCTGGATGATGGGGCGCTCCCTGCAGGAGGAGCAGCCTTGCCTCTGGGGCTCAGGGTGGGTGGGGTTCAGCGGAGCCCCTGGCCTGGGTGGGTGAGACCCCATCAAACAAGGGGTGGAGGCCAGATAATAAGGTCCCACCCCCATGAGGTCTTCTAGGGGGTTCCAGTGGAAGCCCAGCCCAGGATGTCCAGGAGGCCCAGAGCAGATGTCCACTGGGTGGGGAAGAGGCCTGGGCAGTGGTATCTGGTCCCTGAGTTTTGCTCCCCTCTGCCCCCAGTGCCTACCACACAATGGGCTGGCAAAACCTGCTGTACTATGCCCTGGTGTGTTTCCTTTTCAACTGTAACAGAATTATTATAACATACATTTGGCATTTGATATCTCTCTCTCTTATTTATTTATTGGTATTGGGGGTTGAATTCAGGGCTACTCAAACACTGAGCCACATCCCCAGCCCTATTTTGTATTTTATTTAGAGACCGGGTCTCACTACGTTGCTTAGTGCCTTGCCCTTGTGGAGGCTGGCTTTGAACTCGGGATCCTCCTGCTTCAGCGCCCCCCAACCCCTGCCTCTGGGATCACAGGTGTGTGCCACTATGCCAGGCTGCTTTGGATCTTTTAAAGTGGAGCATTTCATGGGCTGGTGGAGCAGAGCATTGTCTAGTGTCAGTGAGCTGGTTTGAGCTTCCACACATTTTTTTTCTGGTCCCGGGGATTGAACCCAGGGTCCTTCACCACTGAACCCCATCCCCAGCCCTTTTTACATTTTATTTTGAGACAGGGCCTCACTAAGTTGCTGAGACTGGCTTTGAACCTGTGATCCTCCTGTTTCATCTCCTCTCCCACCCTCTCCCTCCCCATCTTGTTCATAGTCCAGTGGTGAAGCCAGAATCAGACAGGCAGTCAGTATAGATAGGTAAATTGAGTCAGGTCAGATCTAGGAGGCTAATTTGAGTGAGTCCAGGAAGTTGAAGACTGTCCCCTGAAGGATTGAAATGTTAATTCCTTCAGCCCTTCCTCCACCCTTATGAACAACTTTCCCCTTCTCCAATCTATTGCTAAGGTAACCTGTCCCAGGAGCTGTCCCCCTCTATAGGGAGCTGTAAGGTTGTTAATTAATGTGTCCTGGGCTGTTCCCTCCTGCCCTTCCCCCTTCTGCTGTTTCTCACCTTTTGGCCATCCCACCTAGCATTCCTGGGCCCAGTCACACACACAGGAAGGAGAGAGAGAGAAGGAAGAGAGAAGAACAAAGAAAGCCTAGGGCACATTTTAAAAAGCAGAAAGCCTCACTTCTTGGATACCAGGATACCAGCTATGGCCCCCTTCTTCCTCTTGGGAGAAGTCTATGTTACTCCTTTCTAAATAAACTCTGCCTTACATGCTTCCCTCCGTGTGCTTCTCTAATGTTCAAACTTCAACATGTGGGGGAGCAGAACTCATAACCAGCGGTACCAGTGGCGTGGTCAGAAGTGTTTCTGTGGTTCCAGTTATGATCTCCAACAGCAGGGAAGCCAGGCGTCTTTTGGATATCAGATGGCCACTTGTATTTGTTTTTATTGGACTGCCTGTTGAGATTTATAGTCCTTGGGGCTGTTTGTGTTGGAGAATACAGGAAGCCAGGGCAGTACAGCAAAAAAGGGCACGGGAGGCCAGGAACCATGGAACAAGAATAAGGCACCAAAAGGAGTTTTATGGAAGTGTGGGGAGACACTTCCAGGGGAGGTTCCCAGGTCTGCGAAAGGGTGAGGGCCAGGAGGTCACTGTGCTTCAGGTTAGAACAGTACCTATATAGGTCACTAGAGGTAGGAGGGCCTAGACCAACTAAATTGTTACTACCATTAGCTGGTTGGCCAGAGTTTAGGGCCAGGTCTCTTCAGCCAGGTGAAAAGACCCGCCCATGGGATGGGGAGTGGGAAGAGGAAGGGAAAGGGAAGGGAAAGCTGCTGGCCCCACAAGGGCCTGGCTTAGGGGTTTGGGTGTGCCTAGGGCTCTGGCTCCTTTCTCTGGTCCTGCAGCCCTGCCCTTCTGTATACGGCAGCTTTGTCCTCAGGCTGGAGGCAGAACTCTAGGCCAGGGTCCAACATCCAGCCTGCCATCATGGACCCCCCAGGAGGGGGTGTGTGTGTGTCCAACTCCAGTAGGAGCCCTGGAGCCCTCCCTGAGTCTGTCCCTGGGGCCAGGGGAGATGTCAGGTTCTGAGTAGATTAGGTTTCCTAGAGCTGCCTGTCCAGCTGGCATAGAAGGAGGGAGGCCCATCAGAATCCTGGGTTTGTTGTTAAATGTCAGCTGTGCAAAGGGAAGTGGTCTGGGAGTAGAGAGTGTGGCAGAAAGTTTTCCAACTTTTTGGCGATGTGTTGTGTATGGGCAATTAGAGGCCTTGGTATAGGGTCTGAGTTCTCCACAGGGACTTGGTATAGGGTCTAAGTCCTTCACGTGGTCTTGGTATAGGGTCTTATTATTTGGTACCCCCAAAATACCACCAGAGACCAAGATCGATGTAAACAGCAAAGAGGTGTTTATTGTGAGCTAGCTCGGTCCTCCGCACGCGCACACACAGCAGCCTAGGGTTTGCAGCAGTTTTATACACTCTTTGGGGAAGGCAGGAACTTCACATAAATCATAGCATCTCTTAGCAAATCATCCCACACCTCGGGAAAATCATAAAACAACTCTAAACATGACTAGCACATTCACTGGCGGGAACAAGTTGGGTAGGGTGATTGGTTACTACAAGAGGGGAATTCGTTTGAACTGATTGGTTTAGGCATGAGGGGTGTTCGTGCTGAACTACCTGGTTTCCCAACACGTTATCAACCACCATAAACTACTGGGGGGTCATCTGACATCCCAGGTATTTCCCTGTCTCATGCTGATTGGTGGCTGCTAGGGGGCTGCTATGGGTCCCCACCTAGCCTGACTGAGTCAGGGACACCTGGCGCAGCAGATCTCTCCTGTTATTTGTAGATAAACAACTTAGCAGGGTGGGAATGTGCTTAGGAGTGCTCTGTGGGTCTTTCCAAGGACAAAGTTCATGCCCCTTCTTTGGACAGGCTTTGCTCTGAGGTAGAGGCTGGTTTTTCAGTCTGAGTCCTGTATGTGGTCTTGGTATAGGGTCTGAGTCCTGCACATGGGCCTCCTTCAACACATGGGCCTCCTTCAGCGCTTGGGCCTCCTTCAGCTCATGGGCCTCCTTCAGCTCATGGGCCTGAGGGTCTTCTTCCTCCAGCACTCTGGGCCCCAGGTCTGCATGGCCCCTGCCTTGAAGGGAGGAGATGCAGTGGTAAAAGAGCTGGGAGAGGGAAGAGAGAAGGGGCTAGGGGAGGGAACACCTGGAGCCTGGCAGGCCTGGGCCTTGGCAGTCAGCTCAGAAAACATTCCAGGCAGAAAACCAGCTTGAAATGGCATGGTGTCATCAAGACCCAGATTTGACAATAGAGATTCTTTGAAGGGTGAAGTTCAGACTCGGGTGTGCAGTCTTCAGTGGCTTTGTGCACACTGTGTAGATGACATACCTGGTGACACAAGGTTCTCTCTAGACCAGAGGGTAGATGGATGGGGTAGTGCTAGGCTAAGGGAGGCAGGCCTCCCCTGGGAGGTGCCTGGACTGGGGCTTCCTGCCCCTGAGGAAGGAGAAGGATTTTTCTGGTCTGGAAGAAAAGGGCAGATTCTGTTTTAGAGCTGCAGAGTTTGGGGTGCTGTGGACATTGCCCCTGCCGTGCCCCTTTCTTTTCTTTTTCTCTTTTCCTACACCACCCCTTTATCTTTCTTTCTTCCTTGGTATTGGTGATTGAACTCAGAGGTGCTCTATTATTGAGCTACATCCCCATTTGAGACAGGACCTCCCTAAGTTGCTGAGGCTGGCCTCACACTTGGAATGCTCCTATCTCAGCCTCCCCAGTTGCTGGGATTATAGGCACATGCACCTGGCAGCCCAGCCTCTTTCTGTCTGATTCGCTGTTCCTTTGCAGCTGGGGCTGAGTCCTGGTCACATCCTGCCTGGCTGGTAGCAGAAACCACAGCAGGGCCTTGAGGGGGGTCAGGTCTGATCTCTGCAGGGTATTTCCCAGTGTGGCCTTCACATGCTCCCTGCTTTTCCCTGATCTGACCTGTCCTTCATCTGCCTGTATAGATTCTGAGAACAATAACTCCTTGGTGGCCCCATCCCTGGAGGAAGAGATGGAGTTGAGGGAAGCGCTGCAGGAAGACAGGGAACTGTGCTTGTCCCTTGGCTCCAGTGATTTGCAGGAAAATGCAGCTGAGCCCAGTTCTGAAGATGGGTCCTGGACCATCCAAAGAGTGAGTGAGCCATGCCGCCTCCACCCGTCCCTGCTCCTGCTCTGTGTTTCCCTGGTGGCTGAGCTGGGCTGGCTGAGTCACCCTCACCACCACCATGTGTCCCTCACCCCCTGACTTTCCCCTGCAGCCTTGCTGCACAGAGGTCCAGCTGGCCCCAGAAGTGCCACCACCTGGCTGCCCTCAGTGTCTGGTCCATCCCCAGAGGTGCCTACTGGCTCCAGGCCCTGGGTCTCCACCTTCTTTTCACAGCTCTAGACCCGATATGTGTGTGCCTCAGGAGCTGTGGCTGGGCCAGGTGTGGGTCCTGCTCTCTCTGGGTCTCTGTATTGAGGTGAGGGGCTGGGTGCTCCTCTGTTGTGCCACAGGACCCATGTGTGGGTGCTCGCTGGCTGGCAGGTGCTCTTTCCCAGAGGTGAGGCCCATTGGCCTCTGGGAGTTGTTAAACACCAGGGAACTATTGCTTGGTCAGGGACCTTGCCGGAGCCCCCGGAGGCTTCTGGGAGGGATCTCCCTGCAGGCGCTCAGGAGCACTAGGTGTGCTCCAGCTCACAGACACCCAGATTGTGGCACCTGCTGCCAGGCTTCCTCCTGGCTCAGAGGGGAAGGTGGCTTTCTGTGCCTGGGCTGGGGCTGGCTTGTGAGGTTCCTTGCAGGGGGTGCTCTGTGGTCCAGAGTGTGGCAGTGACACGCTGGAGTTCTCTGGTCCATGCATGCATGTGGGCGGGTGCTATGCGTGGTGCATGGGTGTGGGGTGTGTGTGTGTGTAGTGTCTGGTGTATGTGGTGTGTGTGAAGTGAGTGTTGATTTGTGTGTATGTGTCAGGGTGCAGGACCTGTGGGGGGGAGTGGTGTGTGTTTGTGTGTATGGTGTACGGTTGTGTCTTTCCCCTGGAGTAACCCCTTCCTCAGCAGGGAAGGCCACACAAACCTGGCCCTTGGGGGATACTGAAGGCTTGGGTGAACCTTCAAGTGAGAGTCACCATTGAGACACTCAGGGGGTGGTGATTAAAAATGCTGCAGTGCTCAGCAGGATGAGGGTCTTTTTAAGCCTTCACAGAGTAAGTTGAAGAATCTTTGTGTAAGAAAAAAAAGGAGCAATAGCCAGGAAACCATAGTTGTGCACAGTGGTGCACACTTGTAATCACAGTGACCAGGAGGCCAAGGCAGGAGGATCCAAAGTTCAAGGCCAGCCTCAGCAGCTCCGTGAGACCCTGTGGCAAAAGAGAGAGAGAGAGAGAGAGAGAGAGAGAGAGAGAATAAAGAAAGGACTGAGGACATGAGCCCTGTGTCTGATTCCAACTTCACACCTTAAGAAACTAGGAAAAGGTAAAGCAACTAAAACCAAAGGCAAAGAAGGAAGGAAATACTAACTATTAGAAGAGAAATAAGCAAAGGAGATGGGGCTGGGGTTGCGGCTCAGTGGTAGACCGCTTGCCTAGCACGTGTGAGATGCAGGGTTTGATCCTTAGCACCACATAAAAAAATAAATAAAATAAAATAAAGGTATTTAAAAAAAGAAATAAACAAAGGAGAGAATAGAAAAGCACTAGAGAAAAAAAAAAAAAAACCAGTGAATCAAAAGGTTGATTCTTTGAAAAGACCAACAAAATCCATAAACTTTTAGACTCATAAAAAAAAAGATAACATGTAAAGAACTCAAAAGGTCCAGGGTCCTGTTTTATCTCTTCGTGGAAGCTAGAGAGGAAAAAGGGAAAGTAAGGTGGGGGCAGACCTCAGGCAATTGAAGGGAAATCAGTGGAAGAAAAGGAGGTGGGGGTGGGAGGTGGGGAGAGGGGAAGTGCTGGGGAGGAATCCTGGCTAAATGATATTGTTACACTATGGATGGCATGCACCCATACGTAACAACAAACACCAGCATACTGTGCAATCGTAGCACACCAGTGAGAAAAGGTGCCAGACTGGGGTTGTAGCTCAGTGGTAGAGCCCTTGCCTAGCCTATGGGTTCCATCCTCAGCACCACATGAAAATAAATAAATAGGTAAATAAATAAATAAATAAATAAATGTATATTTTAAAAAAGAAGAAAGGGTGCCAAAGAAACTAAAGTAGAAATGAAGGTGGAGACATTACTGATGACTTTACAGAAGTAAATCTCAATTAGAGGGAATATCATAGAGTTGGCATTTGGTTACCAAATGTTTAACAAAACTTGCTTAATTGTGGCACCAAAAGCACTAGAAACAAAAGGAAAAAGTAGAAAAATTGGACTTCATCAAAATGAAGGTAAACTGAAAAGGCAGCCAATGGAATGGAGAGGTATTTGTAAATCATGTATTAGATAAGGGTTGAGTATCCATGATATATAAAGAACTCATGACTCAACAACAAAAAGACAGTCCAACTTAATTCTGGACAAAAGGTTTGCCTGAAACAGCCTGCCTTCCCCTTCCTTCCTTCTTCATACTGGGGATTGGACCTAGGGCCTCCCACATAATACACCGACACTACCTCTGAGCAGCATTCCAGCCTTTCTTATTTTATTTTGAGACTGTCTCACTAAGTCACCTAGGCT